TTTGACTCAGCACATCACCTTGTCTGTTTTGCATACCATTAGCAAGCGTGAGGCTCTGTAATTCATATGTTTGAACGTTAAGAGAGTCCTGCCTATTTATAGTTCAGTTCCATCCAGGTACTTAAATTTCTCAGAGTCTTTCCATTTGAGCAGATGAAATATGTCTTCTGACACACTGGTCAATGTGAACTTTATCAATATGAGGATTATAGCTTCACAGCTTACAACTGACTGCTTTTAGCTGTCTTCTAGCCAAACTCGTTGTATCAGAGGATGCCTGCTGCAGATGATTGCATTTGAACCAGAATGTAAATTCCTTTGTTTTCTTTTCTTAAATCTCCTGCTTCCAAGGCTGTGGATCATTTTCGTATCTTAGTTTGTCTCCCATAACATCCTCATAGACAAGCTGATGAAATACGGACTCACCTGTTCCACAGTGAGGTAGACTGAAAACAGGGTGAACTGCAGAGCTCAAGGGGTTGTTGTCAGTAACAAAAAATCTGACTGGAGGCCAGTCATCAGTGGTGTGCTCCAGGGGTTGATTCTGTGGCCAACATTGTTTAACATCTTAATGATGTGGATAATGGGACGAAGTGCATCCTCAGCAAGTACAGATGACACAACACTGGGAGGAATGGTTGATACAACAAATGGGTGTGCTTTCATTCAGAAGGACCTCAATAGGCTGGAGACATAGGCTGACAGGAACCTTGTGAAGTTCAGCAAAGGGAAATGCCAGGTACTTCCCCTGGGGAAGAATAACCCCAGGCACCCAGACAGCCTGGGGGCTAACTGGCTGAAAAGCAGCTTGGCAGAAAAGACCTGGGTGTCCTGGTGGGTAAGAAGCTGACTATGAGCCATCAACGTGCCCTTGTGGCAAACGCAGCCATTGGCCTCCTGGGTTGCTTTAGGCAGAGCGTTGCCAGCAGGTCAAGGGAGGTGATCCTTCACCTCTGGTCAGCCCTGTTGAGACACATCTGGAGTGCTGTGTTCAGTACAAGAGAGGCGTGGGCATACTGGAGTTAGTCCGATAAAGGGCCACGAAGCTGATGATGGGACTAGAGCATGTGTCGTACATGGAGAGACTGAGAGAACTGGGATTGTTCAGCCTGGAGAAGAGAAGCCTCGGGGGCAATCTTATTATTTAGTGTGTATTGGCTGATGGGAAGGAGTAAAGGAGACAGAGCCAGGCTCTTCTCCATGGTGTCCCGTGACAGGACAAGAGGCAATGGGCACAAACTGAAACACAGAAAATGCCATTTAAACATAAGACAAAACTTTTTTACTGTGAGGATGGTCAAACACTGGAACAGGTTGCCCAGAGAGGCTGTGGAGTCTCCATCCTTGGAGATACTGAAAACCTGACTGGACACAGCTCTGGGCAGCCTGCTGTAGCTGACACTGCTTTGAGCAGAGGGTTGGACTAGACAGTCTCCAGAGGTTCATTCCAACTTCAACAATTCTGTGATTTTAGGTAACAGATATAGTTGTCATTTTGCCTAAAGAGCAGAACGATTCATGGGTTAACAGAATTTTCTTCTTTACTAAACACACAGAAACCAAAATGATTATGATTATGTTTTAGAGATTATCAAAATGAATGGATTGTGCTAAAATCTGTTATAGTTTTTTGAGCTATGTTTCTGCCAAGACACATAAACAAAACTGTTGACATTGCTCTTAAGTCAATTGTCAAACAACTTTGGTAGCTTCAGTGGAGAATATGTGTGTTTCAGATGCACGTAAAGCACCAGCAGTATGTTTTCATACATTAGTAATTACATATTTTTTGTGAAGACTTTGTATTTGAAATAGCATTGGACAATATTTATTCTCTTAGAACTCCATTTCTCTGTCTTCAGTTTTCTGTGAATCATGATATGTGAAGCATGCATATAACAAACACTTGAAGAAAAAGAAATTAATATAGCTATACAGTTGTTGAAAGTCATCGAGATCTGCTGTTGATATGCATTCCAAGCCTTCATCTTTTGAGATGTAGCCTTCTGCTGCTTTTTTACTTCAAAGAAGTACAGAAGTGCTATATATTCTTATGCTCTGAATTTAGGGTCTGGGAAGGAATTGCAAGTATTTTGACAAGGCTAGGATGAACTTTGAACTTGAATATGGCAGGCATATAGAATGTGTGGAGACAAGACATCTTGAACAATAGTCTTTTGAATAACCTTACTTGTAAAAACAGCTAAAGAATTTTTAGACAAGCCTAACTTTCTGATTTAGGATGTTATAATTTTGTAAATACTGTTCTGTATATTAAAAAAAAACAAACCACTATTTCAATATATAACATCTCTTTAATAGGAACTGAATACATTACAGCCTCAACCAAACTTCCGCCTCTGGCTTACTACTGAAGTTCATGCAAAATTTACTCCGATTTTGCTTCAGTCAAGTCTGAAAATAACTTATGAAGTAAGATCTATTTGGAAAGCTTTTATTGCATGTTTTCATGATGTATAGTAAACTGTATGTTTAGGTAGAATAAAGTTTGGATAATGTGGACTATTTTCATAACTGGTTTTGCCTTATATTTCAATTAGATGTAATACAAAAAATGCTGTGAATTTACCTTGAAAGATTTTTAATGATCATTTATAATGTATATGTGGAAATTTGCAGAAGCTGTGCTTTAAAAGGAGGGTTTGTAAAATTTCTTTCCAGATATTTTTTCCAACTGAAAGTCTGAACTGAAAGTATTTGTTTTGTGCTCCAAATTCTTTTATTCATTTAATCAGTGTTTCTTAAAGGCAAAAACCTACACAGGTGCTGAGACATGGATGAAAAACAAGGAATTCCTCCTTCTTGATGAATGTACTCATCTGAAGATCACAGAATCATACTTTCTCTTCCTTTATTTTTCTTTTTGGCCCCATAGCTTTATATTCACTGCACCCTTTTAACAAAAGTGGCTCTCCTCCCATATAGCAGAATATACAGTTAAAGGCCTTTATTAAAAATTGAGAGCTTTGCTTTCAGAATGGATCAACCTAAGGAATAACTGGTACCATGCTCCTCCAGCTTGTGGGAAAGTGCTCTAATCATTTATGCACTTATGCATTAATGTCCATTATGGATATCATGGATGGGGGTGCTACTAACTCTTCCATTGGTTATGGAGTGTGGAGATTTTGCCTACAGCTAAACCAAGAAGCTCTGACCTTTGAGAGTCCAATGTTGCTGACTTTCAAGAAGCCAAAATTGTTACACTTTTATATTGACTGCAGTATTTTTAAAGTTCTGGGGTACCTTCTTGCTTATATCGAGGGCTTCAGTGGTACAGAAACTACAGGACTGTATAGGATTGTCACATTTCTTTTCATCTAGCTTCCTGAAGTTACTGATGCCACTATCTTTGGAATAATTGGAACTTTACACTGGTGGAATATTCTAAGTCCTTTTGTTGCCTTTTATTACAAGCAGATTTTTTTCTTGTTAAATTTTGTTTTATTAAGTACTGTTTGTCATTTCATTAAGTTATAAATTGTAAGTTAGAATTTAAGAAAATAGTGCATAAAAGTATCAGGTTTTCTGTCTAGAACAGTGTTTTTCTTTCCAATGCAGGCACCTCCAGGGCTCAAAAAGAATCTCTTGCGAACCTATGAATCTTGGACACCAGAGCAAATTAATAAAAAGGGAAATTTGTCTCGAGCGCATTCTCTCTTTTGTTTAGCATGGTTTCATGCTGTATGCCAAGAAAGAAGAAATTATATTCCTCAGGTAATATTTTCCTACTGTTTTAAAAATTTACCCCATTTATTAGCTTTTATACGTGGAAGTATTTTTCATCAGGTATATGTTGGATCATGTTCAGAGATGAGTAAAACTTGGATACTTCTGGTGCCTGGCTTCATTATTGTCTCTGAATTCACTGCAAAACAAGGTCTTGGTAGCCTAAATTCCTGTCCCTCTGAAAATTCTGGTGCCTGGATGGGGTTATTTTGTGATTTGTGTACTAACTGATACTGATGCAGGAGTGAGGTCCCACAGAAAAGATTCTGTGAATCCTGTTTGCTTGGGACAGGAAAAAAATATTTTTGAAACATACACGATTGAATGGAAGATGTGAGAAAAGAGACGCTTTGGTGGGAAGGAGGAGATGATATTGTCTACTCTTTCTGCATACAAACCCTGTTCAAGCAGAAGGAAGAACAAGGGAATTTACTCATTTGTTGTGAGGATTATAATGGTTATCAGAGACTGTGATGTGTTTTTTCCTTAGATAAATTTTTGTTTAAAGCAACATTTCTTTCTGGTTACAGATGCTTAAATTAAACAGAACAAAACCCCAACCAACAAACTGTTCTGTCTTGTTTATTTTATTTAGACTAGTGGTGAAATTAATCTGTCATCTGAAAGATTTGATCTGGCAGAGCCTGGAACGTTTGAGAGTTTTTTGCTAGTTTTGACTAGCAAAATTTAGAAGGTTGTCTGCCTTTTGTAGTAACAGACTTTGACTATGGTGTTCAAGAAGTAGAATAGGTGAAAATATTTAAAGTACTGATCTGGTACGTGAACTCTCATTTGGCTTTGTTCAAATCCATGTTCTTTACCATCAGCTTTCCAAGTGACACGATAGGCTTACTGCTTTCTCCTTAATTCCACTGTAACTCTCCTTGTCTCGTGTGCAGACTTAGTGATGATTTTATATTTGCTTAAGTTCACCAGTTTCTAACATTGCTGGACTGCAATCCCAGCTAGAAGCTCTTGTATTTCATAATGAATTTCAGGTTGTTTTGGGTCCATGTACAGATTTGTCAAAAAAAATACATGAACACTGTTGAGAGACTGTAGGATATTTCCAGTTTATGACCTTCAGGGTGACTGGCTGATAGCTTGATTGTGATCTGTGGAGCAGCTGCAGTCTTGACCTGAGACTGTTATCCATCTCACTGGATACGTGCATGTTACCTGACACATTTGCACATTTCTCATACTGAGCTCCTGTTCCTATGATGTGATCCATATGCAAAGGTACAACCATAAGAAGATACAGCAACAGGAGATACCTTTGAGATCTGGATTTTCTAAGTTTTGTATCATATATATATCAATATTTATTTATACTTATCCATTTACATTGAAAGGTTTTTGTGATAATTACATACACATTACACATTAATGCTATATAAAGAATAATGCCACCAAGAACAGAAAGGAGGTACAAACTGAGAATGATTAGTTCGGTTCAGTAACCACATAATATTTGTATTTTACTTCACAATCATTATTGTGTGACTAAATCTTTGGGTTTCTTTTAATGGTAGGGTTGGACCAAGTTTTACGAATTTTCTTTATCTGACCTCCGTGCTGGTTTTGACATTATTGATAGACTCTTTGAGGGTAAGTCACTTCTTAAGGGAAGATTTCTCACCTCTGTAGCATAACCCTTCTGAATGTCTCTCATTTAAAATTTTTAGAATATTAAAAACTTTCACGGTAATTTTTATAAATTGGTTACTTTGCATGATTGTTTTGTTTGGAGTGGGGCCGTTCTGTTTAAAGGCTGCTTTGAAGGTATTTAGATTTTGCATTTGAATCTTCATTGGAATGTTTTCACAAATATAAACACATGACCAGGTAGTTAGGTAACTACATCAGTATGGGAAGTAGTCTGACCCTGAATCAGCTGTGCTTAGGCTTTATTGGGCTTTTCTGGATGTAGATCCAGACTCTGAGGAGATGTCTGTATTAGTAAACTGATAAGGGCTGGACACAGGCTCAAAACTATTCCATGATCAAGTTTATTTTTTCCCATATTTGGCTTATGCAGACTGGCATTCTCGTAGGCAGTGACAAGGCATGGTTTGTCAGATTAGCAGGGCCTGGAGACTCTTTCCAGTAGGCAACAGGTAAGAGGTTACCTTATTTTAGGTCAAAAGAGAGTTTAGCTGTATGGATGCAAGCCACCTTGTGCCATCTGACCTTGGATTCAAGCAGGACCTGTCCCATTTTACCATTAATAGAGATGTTGCCTGAAGAGCTTTATCTCTCTACAAAACTCAGATAAGAGTGGAGATGCTGCAAGGCTCATCACCAGTAAGCAAAGCTAGAAACACAGGGTGAATCATAATTCCATTTTTGGGTAAACCAATAATTTCTTTCTGCCAAGAACTATTCTTCTCAGCTTCTTGAGTTCAGAGGAATAAAAAGGAAATACAATGAAGTCTTTTGTCTCCATTACTTCCCAGTGTGAGCTCCCCCATATATTGAATAAATGAATTGAATATTAATTGAATATGAATGAATTCTTCATATTGAAACTCACTGTTAGATAGAGCCCACTTCATTGTTCTGTTAAGTAGTGTAGTAATTTCTTAATATTAGTTAATATGAAAAAGATTTTTTTTTTTAAAGTCTTTGCATTTTTTATAATTTCAAAGTAAGGTTAGGAACAGATATTTAGAAATAATTTATGATCATTGACTTAAATGAGATTAATGGATGATTAGTACTTCTGGAATTGGACCTTAGTTATACAGACTTGAAACATACAGTGATGTAAAGAGGTTGAATCACTAACTATCAATGATAATAATTGATCTAATCATTAACTATTGCTGTGAAGATAATTTTTCTTACTAAGGAATGATTGAAGTTACCAGTTACCACCAATAAAACCCTCCTTAAAGTAATTGCTTCTTCCCTTTCTCAAGGGAGTTTAAGTAGTACCTTTCTAATCAAGCTTTTACCTGCACCTGAAACCTATAGGGTATAAGTAGATCATTGTCCCATGCAGTTATTTTGTACAACTGTGATAGAAGGGAGGGAAAATAAGTTGTTTGGAACTTGTGGAATATAGCTAAGCCAGAGTAATCTAATTGCAACATCAATCTGACCAGGAAACTAATAGTAACATGCTTAGTTTTACGTGCTATGTTGTGTGATTTATGATGATTTACAAAGTACCTATCCTGGACCTCTTTGTGTTTGAAAGATGATATTTCCAGTAATGTTATCTATTTTGAGCATGATCTGGTTTTGGTTCAATCAAACAGTTTATTTTAAGTGATCAGATGGTACAAAATAGTGTATAAAATTTTGAACAAGGAAAATTCTTTTTATTTATGACAAAGGAGCACATAATAAAAATTTTAATAGCATCATTTCTGAAATGCATATAACCAATTGGTTTTTGTACAATAAAAAGCACTTCAAGACTTAAGTAGTATTTCTAGTAACTCATTTTGAAACACAGTAAGTGTTTGTTTTATCAATGACAGATATTTACAAACTCATTGAAGTTTCTGCAACTTTTATTATTTGGCAATATAGAAGAAAAACAATTAGAAATTAATTATTTGATGTGTTTGTATTTTTTTATTTCACTGAAGAGCTGCAATGACAAGAAGAAATGCTTATAGTGCAATGTTATGCATTGATACAAAACTAATATCAATTAATTTCTAGGTTCCAAAGACTTTCAGTGGGAATTTGTGCATGGCTTGTTTGAGAATGCAATTTATGGAGGCCGTGTAGATAATTACTTCGATATGAGGGTTCTTCGGTCCTACTTGGAGCAGCTTTTCAATTCACAAGTCATTGGCAGTTTAAATGCTAGAGGCAAGAAGATGACTAGTTTCCCATATTTGATCTCTTTACCGAATTCCTGCAGTATTTTGGTAGGTATACATCTTCTATCACCTAATATAGAAACTAAAATAAGTTATTTTCAAGAATTATTCTTGGAAATAAGTCCACAAAGAAAACCAGAGTTACAATCCAAAGAATATCTCCATTTATTTAAGACTTCTTTTACGTGGAGCACTAATTCTTAAGTTGTCAGAACGATTCTGCTAGTCTGTTCGGTCAGTCTCCTTTTTTATGATATCTGATTGGACTATGGTGCAGAGCAGCATAGCTATGAAGAACTGAGTAAAAGAAATTGGATCAATTTATGACAAAGAAAGATAGTGTTAAATTTTTATATAACTTAATATATTAACATAATAGCACTTTTGTACAGACTGCTAAACATTCTTATAACTTCTGGATGAAATAGGAAAATCTAAATATATCTCCTTTTTTACAAAATATATCAACATTCTGACATAATCTGCTAACATGCTGTGGAGGGTATATGACATTTTATTTGTAGATAAACGTGGATTCTGATTCTCCTTTAGTATTCCTTTAGTGTAAACAAGAGGGAATTTAACAGACTCTAAAGAACTGATCTCTCCCTATCCTTTCACATACTATTGTTGTTGTTACTATTATTAAGATTAATTTACATTTTAATTTAGGACTCGATACTAGATCTCTAATATGAGTTGATGTAAATGGAACTATGCCAGTTAAAATAAATTGATGTTGTTTGGCATTCTCTACCTGGACTGTGACTGTTTAGGTTTGGGTTTTGTTTATTTTTTTACCTTAAATATGACAGTTATTTTATATAGATGTGCTGACTTAATATCATAAAGAGGGAAGGAAGGAATAAACAAACGAGGCTGGTCTCCATTCTTGTAGATAATATGGTGAAATAGATGAACCTTTCTTCTTGCCTTCACTGCATTTAATATAACTCAATTTCTTATAATTATATAGAATTATAGGATCATTAAGGTTGGAAAAGACCTC